ACTACCTCATCATGAAGGGGTAAGAGGCATGGCTGGGGTTGTCTAGGATGCTGGTTGAAGATCCAGGGTGGTGAGGAGAGTGGACAATCGTTTGGTGCTATGAGCACATTTTGAAACCAGAGAACTCTTTGAGCATGGATGGATGGATGGATGGATGGATGGACAGATAGTCCTTGAGTTACAACCATTCATTTTGTAACCATTCAAATTTACAATGACAAAGGAAAAAGTGTGGGCCAGCAATTGTAAATGATGACTACAGGAAGGGGGGGGACCTGTTTTTCAATGGCCCATTTTCTTCTAGGTGTCCTCACGACAAGACGCTGGACTTCCTCAATGCCATTGGAACCAGCACGGTGGCCAAGTTTAGCTTTCAGATGTTCCAGTTCAAGAACTTGTCCGAGGTCTTCCTACACTGCCAAGTCCGTCTGTGCATTCCAGCCAACCAGGAGCCGTGCGCCAAGGTGAACCCACATCTTTTGCACGTGGCTGTTCAACGCCGGGCACTTTTTCATATCTTCTTGGGAGCTGAACAGCTTATTTATTTGCAATCCCTGATCTGGGGAAAATGTTTGGGTCACAGTGAAGAAGCTACGAAGAAGGTGCGGCTTTGGGGAGCCCTTGACTCTTGACCATAACTGAGCCTGGAATTACGTGCATTGGTTGTGCTGATGATTAAGCGGGTCACCCCATGACTGTGCCCACTTTTATGACCTTTTTTGCTGCAATCACTAAGTCAATGTGGTGACCTTTAAGCAAAACACATTATCGGCAATGGTTTTTAATTTTTTTTGCTGGAAATTGGAAGTAAAAGCCGGTTCCCAGAAAAAAAACATCAATCACAATCATGTGTCCACAGGATACCGCAAACGTTTGTAAATGTGGGCAGATGGCTGAGCTGTCCAAAATGGGATCACATGACTGTGGGGTTGGTCAAAATGGGATGATTCGACGTGGCCAAACTGCTGTGGCCAACTCATTGCTGCCAACTCAACGTAGTCAGCTTTATTATTAGCATTAGCTCCATCGTCCATTGGGGTTTTTGTTATGCACATACTTACTTCTCTCTTTTCCTTGGGTGACAGCAATGTCCCATCAAGCAAAGGAACAGGAGGCATCTGGAGGACGAATACATGAAGGTGGTCTCCTACGGGCCCGTTGTGTTTGCAGCGCAGTCACACTTGGAAACCCGGAACACCCACGACCAACCGTCCTTCTTGGGTATGGCACCATCTTCAGTTTGATGCCCCAGGGAGGGGGGTAATTGTGACTTCCACTTGAGCTTTTGGACCCCCAGTGCCCTGGGATGTCCACACTCTTTTCCAGCTCCTTGGGGATGGAGAGGGAATAGGGTATCTGCCTTCCTCTCTGAAGGAGTTCAAGATCCAGTTTTAATTTTAGTGTCCCCTGAATTATCCCACCCAAAATATACACTGAAAAAAATTATCAGCGTCCCTGCCCATATCTCCAGTGTATCTGAAAAACCAATTTAAAAAAAAAAAAAAAGTACAGGAAAGTTTTTATAAATTATCTGGACCGTTCTTTGGAAGCAACATTTTCATTTTTAAACAGACTGATGAAATTTGTGCTCATTCCTGTCTTCTTCCTTCTCTCTCTTCCTTCCCTTCTATTCCCTTCCTTTCCCATGTCTGTCTGTCTGTCTCTATCTGTCTGTCTGTGTCTGTCTATCTATCCCTCCACTGTTTCCTTTCCCTTCCTTCTTTTTCCTTCCTTCCTTCCTTCCTTCCTTCCTTCCTTCCTTCCTTCCTTCTCTCTCTCTCTCTCTCTCTCTCTCTCTCTTCATTCCTCCTCTTCTCCCCCCTTTCCCCTCCCTCCCTCCCTCCCTCCTCATTCCAGGATCGCAGGTGTGGATCCCTGTGGTGATGGCCGTGGTAGCCATCACTGCAATCTTCATCTTCATAGCTGTTGTAAAAGTCATGAAGAAATGAGCAACTTCCAAATAAATCTATAATTGCAGATCACACCAGGGCCAGTTTGCAATTTTCTCCCCTGAAAGAGGTTTCCAAGAACTGCCGTGTTGAAAAGTTCTGGGTGTCCTTTAAGGGATAGGAGAATTTTGGAGAACGTTTCTCGGGTCAAAGCTAACCGTTCTTGCCCGCATTGAATGACCACGTTGCTCAGGAAAAGGCGCAAACGTCTTGTCGTCTCACTGGTGATCTGCAGACTCTCTGGCTTCCATTAGATCCCTGGTGAGAGCCCTCTTCCTGGGGGATTTTCCAGATTCGGAAGGAGCAGCAGCCAGGGAGGCTTCAGGCCAATGAAAAGACGTGGATCAGAAAACAGCAACCTCAGCCATCTCCTCCCTTTTCCCTTTTGGCTAAGAGCAGATTTAGGTACATCACAGAGAAATTTGAAAGAAAGTGTTCTGAGAATAAAGTAGCAAAACAGAGGGAAGAAAACTCTGAAGAAATCCCAAATTTGATGAAAGCAAAATTCAACATGGCGTTATCTCTGATGCGCAAGCTTGCTTTTGGGACCCACGAAAGCCACAATATGACGACAAATATTGGTGTGTTCTGGCTTCTGGTCTTGCCTGCCTATTTTTTTTTTCTTTTTTTAACCTCAGTTTGAAGCACAAAGTTCCTGCCCTTATCTTGATTTACAAGAATGCCTCTTGGCCACCTGTTAGACCTCAAAGCTGTTGAAATGTGCTTGGTAGTTCAGGAAAAAGTAGAACAGAAAACAGCTGGGGGGAAAAAGTCAGGGAAAAACCAGACCCACTTATTTTCTGGAAAAGAGTGTGTTAACCCTGGTTCCCCTTTCTGGGGCCAACCCTTTAGTCCAAGGCCCACGGTCACACTCTCAAAGTGTGGCAGCTGCCCCCCCAAGATAGCTTATCCTGTTGTTAAGCTTTTATTCCTCTGAGTTTGCAAAAAAGGAATCAGTTGAAGAAGCTTCATTCAGCAATTGGAATCTGATCTTGCAGTCCAGTTTCTACCTACGATGTGCAAAATTTGAAACAGTGGCCTGTAAAAAATTAAGCATTTAACCTTGATTGTTAGTGTGGTGACATACACCGCAAGAATTCTAACTTAACCTTATGAAAGTAGGCCTTCTCTTGCTCTAACACAGTGTTTCTCAAATTTGGCAACTTTAAGATGGGTGGACTTCAACTCCCAGAATGCCCCTACCAGCATGCATGCTGGGGAATTCTGAGTGTTGAAGTCCACCCATCTTAAAGTTGAATTTTGGGAGTTGAAGTCCACAAAAAATCCACATATCCAGAAATTGCCAGGGTTGTGAAACACGGCTCTAGCGTAGCTTTCTGCTAGGATTCCTATTTATGGTGTTGGATTTTCTTTCGTTAGCTGCTGTGGTTGGTGTGTACCAGCAGCGTGCAAGAATTTAAATGTGATAAATAAAATTTGAGTCAAAATTTGGGTCAATCAAAGTTCTCATTTATCTCAAATCAGTTGCTTAACCACATCCTATTTGTCTACACTTCCTTGAGTACCCTCCCTTTTTTTGAATTCTCTCCTCTCTTCTCTGTTGAATCATGAAATTGTAGGTTTGGAAGGAAACTTGAAGGGTGGGTTAAGGTTGGGGTTTTAGTCCATCTCTCCCAGTGCAAGGCAGGAGACCTTATACCAAACAAATGGCTGTCCAATTTCTTCTTGAAAACCTCTGGTGATGGAGCACCCAAACTTCTGGAGGCAAAGCCATTCCCACTGAGTAATTGTTCTCACTGCCAAGAAATTTCTCCTTAATTCTAGGTTGGGTCTCTCTTTAATGACCTTCCATCTGTTGCTTCTTGTCCTGCTCTCAAGCACTTTGGAGACTAAATGGACCCCCCCCTTTCCTGTGGCAGCCTTCCCCCCTTCAAGGTCACACTGCAGAGGTGTTTGAACGGTACAGACAGTTCCCATAATAAAAGGAGCGTATGTGATTGGACAACGCAATGGACATTGCAAGGGGACAGCCAAAGGGGGGGGGGAAATTCAAGTTTAATTACGTGGACATTTGAGCGGGAAATTCAGAGCTGGTTTTGCTTCTTTTGTACCAAAGTAGTGTACTCAGTAAAAGTAGTACTTTTAGGAAGAGCAGCGTCCTTTCTTGGATTAGGTAGCTGGACATCTGACCCCGTCATTCTTTCAGATGATAGCCGCAAACAATATTTCCAGGTGGTAAAAACAGAAGGATGCTGAGAACAAAATTCCCATAACTCATCCAATAAAATGGCCAATCAAGTGTCCCTTGAAACCAGGGGTACTAATAGGAAGGGAGGGGCCAAAAAAGGCAAGATGGCGGCTTCAAGCCCTCTATCCCAGTCCAGCCCTTTCTCGTGTGCAGGATGGTTGTGACTGCCACGGTGTCTCCCTTTGACTCCCTTCCTGCAGACTCCCCCACGTACAGCCTGACTTCTTTTCGCTCTCCACAGCTTTTCAGCCTGGCCCACAACAACAACCACCACCCAAATTGTTGCCTGAGCTATATCTTGTCCAGACGTAATCAGGAAGGTATCTGCACTAATAAAATTTGCCTTTAATATACACATAGCTTAAATTTCAATGTACTCTCATAAACTTTTTACACCACTGCAATTTTTTAAAAAAAATATTTACATTAGAAAAAAAGAGCCATACAAACACAGGTAGTCCTTGCACAAAGGGCCACAATGGAGCCCAACTTTTCTGTTGCTAAGAGAGACGTTAAATAAGTTTTGCCCCATTTTACGACCTTTCTTGCCACAGTTGTTAAGTGAACTCCTGCAGTTGTTAATTTAGTGACACAGTTCTTAAGTGACTCTGGCTTCCCCTTAGACTTTGCTTGTCAGAAGGTTGCAAAAGGGGGGGGGGTCACATGACCCCGGGACACTGTAGCAGTCATAAATATGAGTCAGTTGCCAAAAGTGTCTGAAGTTTGATCACGTGACCACAGGGACGCTGCAACGGTCATAAGTGTGAAAAATGGTCATAGGTCATATTTTTCAGTGCCATTGTACATTTGAAAGGTCACTAAACAAACTATTGTAAGTCAAAAATTTCCTGTATTGAAGGAAAACAGGTCAGTATCGTCTCCAAGCTACCCAGAGGTATGAAGTCACCCAGGTCCACCAAAGAATTGCTTGGCTGAGTTTCCAGGGAGATCCTCCCACGAGCATCTCCCACCCAAAGTCCTCCTGGCCGGGACGAGGTCAGATGCTGGAGCTGCTGGACTGGAGCTTCAGGGTGGTGGAAGTTGTGCACTGCGTGGAACTCGACCTGCGAGCCTGCAGCACTTTGGCCAAGTACCAAAGGAAGATGAGGAAGCCTGGAGAAACGGGAGAAGATCAGAGATGTTGAGCAGCCCCTGGAAGGCAGTGAGGAATCCGGACACAGCGACGGAACTGCAGTGTAATGTGGCACTGCAGGAATAACCTTGAGGGACAGGAGGAAGAGCTGCAGCCAAAGCAACAGATAGATAAAAGAAATTCAAGTCGGGGGCAGAAACGTAATCTGAGAAAGCATCTCAAGCAGGAACCTCCCTAATTGACATGGAGATAAAGGGAGGAAGGTGGAAGTGTAATTCGATTGGCAAGATTCTGTTACTATAACCTTGCAATAAAAGTAGACAATAAACAACAGAATAATAGAGTTGGAGCTGGAGAAAGAGGAGAATGTCACAGAGCTTAAGCAGTCCCTAGAAGGGAGTGAGCAATTGGGATGCAGGGAAAGAACAGCAGCAGGGTTGAGGGCTGCTGACCATCACGTGCTATGGAAGGATTGAAATTCAGAAGTTAAGGACATTTTTTTTCACGATCCCAAGAGTAAGGTGAGCAGGAATACTCACTGACCTTGGAGAGAGTTGATGATGGTGAAAATATAGACAGCCACCAACGTGAGGGTCCCGGAAATGACCGCAAAGAAGACCACCCCCCACGGGATGCCCAGCACGCAGCTCAGGCCCAGGAGCATCACTGCATATTCCCAGTGACGCTCTCGGTGTCTCAGCCTGAGAGTCTCGTACACCATGGTGGCCAGCATTATGCTGTTGAAGAAGAGCACCAGGCTTAAATAGCCCAAATTCAGGAAACTGTGGATCTCCTGTTTGGAACTCCAACAGCTGGAGAAGAAGAGAAAAAACAGAAAAGTAAGTCTAGGCACTATTTAACTAGCTGGAAGGCACATGAAAATTGGAATACGAGCCCTCAGATAGGCTGCGAAATTTTCTTTAAGCTGACATCTTCCCAAAAAACAGGACACTCCAGGACACTCAAGGGCCAATCATGAATGTGATGCATCCCACCCTCTTTGTGACTTCTGCTCATTCCCTTATTCTCCAAGAAAGTTGGTTGATGGGAAATGATGTTATAGCACTACCTGGCTACAGGTGTTTTTATAATGAGCTACGAGGGACCAAAAGATGGGCCATGCTAAGGGGGGGGCTTAATGAGCCTAGCTCAGGGGTCTTCAAACTTGGCCCATTTATGACTTATGACCCAGAGGTGGACAACTGTTAATCCTCAAGAAAAAATGCATCTTTCTGAATAGACAGCAGGGGGCAATTTTGTTCTGTCCCTCAGGAACTTACAAGCGTGCTTTGGTGTAATTCTCAGAAGACGTATAGACGTTAATAGAGGAAGAGCCATAGTAGGACTGATCAATGACAAAAATTAGACATACGATGAGTATAGGAAGACCTGCAAAGGAGAACAGCTGGAGTTAATGCCACATCCAGCCCAACTCCACAACAATTGTTAAAAGATAAGTTCAAGCTAGTACAAAAATATGTAAGAAATCTTAGATAAAATATAATAGTTCCAGAGTAAGAGACAGTAAGATCCAAAACAAGGATGCAAAAAATCTTTTATCACTCACCCCAGCCTATTAAGGACAGCTTGACAATTAAGCATTTGATGTAGGAGTTGAAGACTTCAATCACCATCCGGTAGAGAGTGTAGCCCTCAATGGCCATCCAGGTCAAGCACGCAAGCACGGAAAAATGCAGGAACATGCCACCAGCTTTGCAAGCCGTGTCCCCTCCGAAAGGAGCCAGGTGCACCGCAATGAGGAAGCTCACATCGATGAGAAAGATGGCCCAGAGGAGATTCATGTGGACAAAGACAATGTGGTCCCTCTGCTTTTTCCTGTGAAGAAGGAAGAGCATCATACTTCTCTTCTTGATTGAGGCTCTGAGCTGCGGTCATGAAAAGTCTCAGAACCTGTTGTGGGAAAGGGTTTGATCCCCAAGACCTGATCCCTGAGTTATCTAACCTGCTTCCCTCCAGATGTTCTGCAACCCATTCTCACACTCCATTGCTGTTGGCCGTGCTGGTTGGGGCTCATGGAGTCCCTGCAGATTTTACTCCGCTAGCCATTGCTACTCTGTGAGTGGTGCCTGAAGATCTTTCTTCAGTCATGTGGCCAGCGTAACATCATGGAGTGCTGTTTCCTCTCCACCAAAGTAGTACCTATTTATCTACTCTCATTTGCATGCTTTCAAACTGATATTTTGCCAGGAGCTGAGGCGATGACGGGAGCTTACCCCACTGCCAGGAACTCGGGTCTTGGACCCGGGTTGCCAGTTTTCCAGCTGACTAGCCCATGTCTTAACTGCTGAGCCCAATGTAACTCAGAGCTAGAAAAATCATGATGCATGTTTTCCTGATGCATGTTGAGATGTTCCTGCACTTGATCTCACAGGGTTCTTCTTCGCTGTCTTTGCTTGTTCCTTCTTCAGTGCTATTCTAAATTCCTTCTAAGGTCCTTCTGAATCCTTCCCTTTTCCAAATCCCGACTTAGAGCAAAATATCAACTTATCCTACCTCAAGCAAAGGAAGACAATGGTGACGAGTGAAGCCAGAGCCGAAATGATGCAACCAACAAAAGTAACAATCCTCAGATATTCCTCGTGGATCTCGTCTATATCTGAGAAAGGGAGCTGTGGAAGGAAAGGAAGGAAGGAAAAGATCTAAGAAGGGTAAAGGAATATGAAAGATTTTTTCAGCAGCTCCAGGATTGAAGGAATCATAATGTTCTGAATGTGGTTGGGCCACAACTAGAAGATTTTGTAGGAAGCAATGAGGCCCTCAAGTCTAACTTCCTGCGAGGGATCAAATCTCTGAAAGGTGTCTTCACATCCTGTGAAGAAGAATTTGCTATCTTCCTGCATTTGTCTACCTTCAGTTTCAATAAATATTGAATAATATTAAATAAATAAATAGAATTCTACTACTGTATAGTCAGTTTTTCTTGGTTAGGTTCAAGAGTAAGAGATCTCCTGATGCCTTCTCATCCTTCACCACTGGCCAATCTTTCTGAATTTTTGGGAATTGTAGTCCTCCACCACCCTTTGTCCCCATATCTTCTGCAGGATGCTGATATGGAGTTTGGCACTCACCATGACCACCGCAAAGAAGGTGAGATGGTCACAAAGGCAGGTTGTTTGGTTCTCTTTATGCACCACTTCACAGCCTGATGTGTTCCACTTGCCGATGTCACCGGCTACAATCAAAAGGAGAGGCTCCTTTAGAGATGATTGTGAGGTCCTGCCTCAGCTGTCCTCTCAGGAAAGCAAAACTCTTGAAACAGGCATCATTTCCAAAAGATCTTTTACTGAAAGTGATTGCAGGGAGGTGAGGGAGAATCTGAAGTTCCCGCGCAAAAGCGTTAAGCTAAAAGCTCCAATTCCCCAACCCCAAACCAACACAGACCTCGAGGCTGTGTGACCCAAAAAGGAGCCCAGGGGTCAGCTAGGGCCTAGGACAGGGGTAGGCAACCTTGGCTCTTTTATGATTCGTGGACTTCAACTCCCAGAATTCCTGAGCCAGCCATGCTGAGAGGAAAGGGAGAGGTTTCCAAGCTGAGCCAAGCTGGCTCAGGAATTCTGGGAGTTGAAGTCCACCAGTCATATAAGAGCCAAGGTTCCTCACTCCTGGCCTAGGGTCTTTTGCTAAGGCTAGAAGACCTCCAAGGTCCCTTTCAACTCTGTCATTCTGTTATTCCTTCCAAATCTTCACATTCATGCTCCAAACTTCCTTGGACACTTACGCTTGGCGCCCATAACCCAGAAGACACACGAGGGAGTCACATTCTTCTGAAATAAAATCAAAATTCAAATAAAGAATGTCATGCATGGTATTTTGTTTTTAAAAAAATGTAAAATAAGGGAGCCATCATAACGATACATGAAGTGTTTCTTAGCCTCTGCAGGTTTAAAATGGCTTATCCCATATCACAAGAATGTAGAAACGTATGAAGAATCTTGATAGAGACCTTCCTGGTACTGCAAACAAGCCAGGATCAGGGCAATGGGAAGAAGAGATTTTTTGACCTACCTGGAGGTGGTTGTGCCAAATAGTGATTGATATCCGCTCTTTTGGAAGCAACCCACGGACCGGTGTGTTTCCCACTGAGATGCCAATCACTTTTCCACCAAAGATTGGGCGGGAATCATTATCCTGTCAGGAACAATTTTAGATGATATAGATCAGGGGTAGTCAACCTTGGCTCTTTTATGACTCGTGGACTTCCTGGCTCAGGAATTCTGGGAATTCTGGGAATTGAAGTCCACGAGTCATAAAAGAGCCAAGGTTGACTCCTCTGATATAGATAATGATTGATGAGATAGATAGATAGATAGATAGATAGATAGATAGATAGATAGATAGATAGATAGATAGATAGATAGATAGATAGATGGATAGATAGATACAAGAGAAAGAGAGAGAGAAATGGATAGACAGAGAGGCAAACAAATAGACAGATGGATAGAGAGACAGATATCATTATCCTGTCAGAAACTAAGTTTAGATGATTGATAGGTTGATAGGTAGAAGAGAGAGAGGGAGAACAATAGACAGACAGGCCGATAGACAGATATGGACAGACAGACAGAGACAGACAGTCATAAGGACCATCTTCTGTCTCGTTCCCTTTCTGTAACGTATCTGTTCTGCGATGCCAGTAAATCCACAAAAGCTTGTTTTGTTAACAGTAACAGTAGCTTCCAAGTTCCTTTCCTGCTTTGCCACAACACACACACACTGTTACTGTAGAGGCATGCAGGGATAACCCTGGCAGAGGTACATGGGAGTTATTAAGAGAAAATAAGAGACATCTAAGCCTTTCTCCAGGCCATTACCTTGAAGAGCACCGGGCTAGTAGCTGCCAACATCACAACTCGTCCCTCCTGGTTGACATTTGCACCTTTGGCTTTTGCTAAGACTGATTTTGACAGAGTCACCTGGAACTGATTAATTTCATCATCCTGGAACACAGAAACAGATGTGGCATTACAGAGTCTGATTGGAAAGGTAGAACTGCAGTTGCCTTGTAAAGGGAAGGCTGGAACCATCATTTCCCATCTGGATTTTCTTAAATTTGGTTTGCATCTACCGGTTCTGGCAACCAGGCCTATGCAGCTATCTATAATTTTTCCAAATTATTATGCCATTCTTTTCAGGTCAGAATTGTATACAGGTAAGTCCTTCAGGTTGTCAAGGTTGGACACCCCTGGTACAGGGCTTGAGCAGGGGGTTGGGCTAGAAGACCTCCAAGGTCCCTTCCAATTCTGTTATTCAGTATTCTGCATTCTGGCTTGTTACATCTCAGCTCTGTACTCACCTGCACCGTTTCCTCAATGGACAGATTTTCAGGTGTCTGGGGCAAGATTTTGTGCACATTGGCAAATAAACTTGATCGCCCAAATCTCTTGTGATGTCCTTGGAACTGCGTCTCTACCAATACTGACTCCAGATATTGGAGATGTCTGTTGAGAAAAGAGGGACCAGATGGGTCCAGATAACAGATCCACAGGTGCCCACCTCCATTAAAGAGGCAGGTTGCCATTTCATTGACTTATCTTGGTCCAACTGGCAACAACATTTGCAGCAAATGATGTTAGAAGGACAACACATGAATAGTACAGGCTGTCCTCATTTACTGGCCATTCACAGTTACGGGGGTGATGAAAAAATAACTTTGGGACCAATCCTTGCATTATTTTTAATTTCCCCCCCCCACCTATTTTTTAATAAATAAGGTAATGGATATTTCTAATACTTCCTCCTGCTATTTCCCCCATAACAACAGCCTTGTGAAGTGTGTTAAGCAGAGAGAGAAAGACTGGGCCAAAGTCACCCAGCCAGCTTTCATGTTTAAGGCGGGACTAGAACTCACAGTCTCCTGGCGATTGGCCCAAAATCACCCAGCTGATCTTTGTGCCTAAAGTGGGACTAGAATTCACAGTCCCCTGGCAACTGGCCCAAAATCACCCAGCTGGCTTTCATGCCTAAAGCAGGACTAGAACTTACCATCTCCTCTCTTCTAGCTTGGTGCCTTCACAACTAGACCACAGTGGCTCTTTACATCCTTCACAGATCCATGAAGCAAGCCTGTGGTAGGCCTCCACGATCCTTTCCAGGATGGCAAGATGATTCTCTGTCCCCTTGGAGTAATATTTCTCAACCTCAGCAACTTCAAGAAGAGTGGACCTCAATTCCCAGCTGGCTGGAGGATTCTGGGAATTGAAGTCCACTCTTCTTAAGGTGGCTGAGGTTGAGACTCAACTAGGTTCTAACCCAAGGAATGTTGATGGCAGTGATGAAAGAATTAAATAGCGAGCACCTTCTCTTTTGGAGCTGTGAAACCAGAGTGAGGAATCAAAGGCCCAGCTCCCTTCTCTCCACCAGTACAGACAGCCATTAGCCCACGTATACTCACTTAAAGGGATTTTCACGTATGACACCCCTAGCTTGCCCAGGCTTTTCTAATCTTCTCAGTGTTAATTCTACTCTTCTAAATTCTGTTTCCACGTCAGTTGTCCCATCTGGGTTTCCTTTCCCCCACACTATTGGGTAAAACAAGAAAGAACATAGCATAAAACCACCTTGTTCACCAGATCACCCTCCTAAGGACCATAAAATGATATTTAATGTGGAGAAAAGCAAGGTTTTACACCTGGACAGGAAAAACCAAAGGTACAAGTACAGATTAGGTGAGACCTGGCTCGAAAACAGCAACTGTGAGAGGGACCTTGGAGTCCTAGTGGACGATCACTTAAACATGAGCCAGCCGTGTGAGGCAACAACCAAAAAAGCTAATACAATCTTTGGTGATATAAACAGAGCCATAGAATCAAAATCACGTGAAGTATTAGTACATAGGAACGGAGAGAGTTTTACATTACCTGGAAACTGGAGAAGAAGGAGAAGGAGAAGATAAAAAAGTCTTCTGGGAGCTCTGTTCTCAGTCCAGATGCTGCAGAGGTGTGATGTTGTCGTCATGGTCTTATAGAAGGCTTCCTTGCACAGCCTCCAATAGCTTGGCTCTCCTTCGATGCACCTGGAAATGTGCACAAAAAAGCATCTTAGTTCAACACTGGCTGCCTTGATTGAGATAAGCGCTGTCCCATAGAATCGTACAGGACCGGACAGGGTAAACCCTGACCTTTGCTTTCTATGGGTAGAATTGTCCAAAGCACACACTCCGCTAGAGAGAATTGGGTATGTCTAGTTTAATCAAGAGAAGGACAAGGGGGGACATGATAGCAGCTTTCCAATATCTCAGGAGCTGCCCCAAAGAAGAGGGAGTCAAGCTATTCTCCAAGGCGCCTGAAGGCAGGACAAGAAGCAACGGGTGGAAACTAATCAAGGAGAGAAGCAACCTAGAACTAAGGAGAAACTTCCTGACAGGGAGAACAATTAACCAGTGGAACAACTTGCCACCAGAAGCTGTGAATGCTCCAACACTGGAAGTTTTAAAGAAGAGACTGGACAGCCATTTGTCTGAAATGGTGTATATATATACCTACGCCCATACATATATATACATATAAATATTAATCACTGTCCATTTTGAACACATAGTGGAAAGAGGAAACTTGAGATTTCACTGGGTCCATTCTAAGCCTGGGCAACAAATATTAGCTACCGGTTCTGCCGAAGTGGTGCAAACCGGCTGAATCCCACCACTGACCAGAGGGTTGGACTAGAAGACCTCCAAGGTCCCTTCCAGCCCTAGGATTCTATATTCTGGACAGCAATTTGTCTGAAATGGTGTAGGGTTCCCTGCCTGAGCAGGGGGTTGGACTCGATGACCTCCAAAGTCCCTTCCGACATCATCATTATTATTATTATTATTATTATTATTATTATTATTATTATTATTATTATTATTATTATTATTATTATTATTATTATTATTATTATTATTATTATTATTAAAGTTCCCTGAGGATGGGCTCCAGCAGGAATCCGAAAACCCGGTCTATACCTATGTTGTATAAAGTATGTTTTAAATGTGCGTTATGTAGATGTACCCTTTGAGAGGAAGCAACTAAATTTCATTTTTAATATGTGCCATTGTGCCCACAGGAAAAAATGACAATAAAGGTTATCTAATCCATCTAGATAATTGAAGCATGTCACATCCGAAGAGACTCTGGTTAGAAAAGAACATTGACGCAAACTACATGTTTCTTTTTAAAAAGCCATTTCCTCTTTTTCTGTCTGAGGAACCTGATCCAGATGAAGGGCTGTCTCAGCAGCTAAAAGAATAGAAAGAGTCGACGTAATCATTTTTACTCGTTTTTCTGTAATTCCACAATTGCATCACGCTGACCGCAAAATGATCATTCTATAAGGGCTTTCAAGGAAATTGAAAACAAACTGAGCCAGCAAAGTAGAGCAATGGAAAATTCAGAAGTCAACAGGTTTTCAGAAGTGAAATGAGTTCACATGCACGTTAACGGCAATATTTGTTTTCCTGATCAATATATATATAAGCAACGCAGAAGGAGAAGCAAACCCATGTCCTTGAAGCACAAATCTTGGATTGTCTTAGAGAACCACCAAGATGGGACATTTTCACCTTGTTTACTTTGGTGCATTTGCTAAAGTAGTTAACTTTCTTGACGCTTACATATGTAGATGTACTTTGATTTTTGTTTAACCTAATTTGAGGATACATACGTCATTCAGAATTGTCAGGGAGAGAAACAAAATAGAAACCCAGGAAGCAATACTGTAAATAACTTAACGTTTCCAATGGTAAGTTTGCAAACTGAGCAGCAAGTTCATTTCTTTTGTTTCTATGAGGTCCTTGGCGCCCTCTGAGTTTGGTTGTTTTCTTGCAGACATTTCATTACTCAATTAGGTCACATCTTCTGAAGATGTGACCTAGTTGGGTATTGAAACTTCTGCAAGAAAACACCTAGGCTCAGAGAGCATCAAGGACCCCACAGTTCAGCCCTAGGCTACAGAGATACTCTTCTATTGGTTGCTAACACTGATGATGTTACGTAGTTGGGTAATGAAACATCTACAAGAAAATATTTACGGTTGCGGGACTTGGGTTTGGCTAGTCTAAAGAAAACAAGAAATAGGGGAGACATGATAGCAGTGTTCCAGTATCTGAGGGGCTGCCACAAGGCAGAGGGGGCCAGGTTGTTCACCAAAGAACCAGAGGGAAGGACGAGAAACAGTGGTTGGAAACTGCCAAAGAGAGAAGCAACCTGGAATTAAGGAGAAACTTCCTAACAGTGAGAACAATTAACCAGTGGAACAGCTTGCCCCCAGAAATCGTGGGTGCTCCATCCCTGGAGGTTTTTAAGAAGAGACCTAACATTTATTAAACCTCAAAAATCTGAAGGATATGTAAATATAAAGAGATTTAAACCACTTATATTTATCTTTCATTTGTAATATATGTAGTACACAGAGAGAGAGATGAATGAAATAAGTGAATGTAATAAATAAATTAACCCAGATTCTTTGATGACTAGAAATAATAGAATAAGGAAAGAAGGGAGAGATGATATAACCTCAGAGAGGATGAAATATAAATTCTATTTATAACTGCTGTAAAGAAGATTAAAAACCACTTTCTTTCTTTCTTTCTTTTTCTTTCTTTTTCTTTCTTTTTCTTTCTTTCTTTTCCATTCTTTCATTTTCATCATACTTTTTTCCTAAATTTCCCCTTCTTTTAATATGCAAATAAAAATTGATTTTAAAAAAATCAATCCAGATTCAAATTGGTTAAAAATGAAATTCCCTTGAAAATAAAGTCCAATGCCTCTAACCTTGAGTTCTATGTAGGAAACTTATCACATCCTAGAAAGGATTTTATGGGTCAAGAACCCTCCAATTTCCCAAAAGTTGGCCAAGGAAACCCCCTGGGGAAAGGGGATGAAAGTCCCCCCCCCAAAAAAAAAATCCACAACATTTTTGCAAAGAGCTAAACAAAATGAAAGTTGATTATTCGGTCACAAAAACAGCACAAAGTTTCAATTTGACACGAGAAATATGGCAAACTTCTTCCTAAAACCAAAATACCATCTTCAGAAGACAACCCAGCTGACATCTAGTCCGCCAGTCTATAAATGGCCTGAATGAGATCAGAAGTTCTGGAAAGCATCAACTTCCTCAAGAAATGGCTTAATATGGGTTTGTTTCCAAACTGTGTTCTGTGGATCCTTACTGTTTTAGGAGTACCTGATGGGGTTCTGTCAGAGAGAGAGGCTGGAAATAATTACTCTGAGTCCCACAATGCAAATTGGACCTTGTGTGCGAGGGATACCTTGGTTGATGGGAATTCTCCCACACTGAGTGAGTGTCTGTGTTGATTCCGAAAATGGGAATCCCCTGATCTAGTTGTGCAAGGGGAAATGAAGAGGGGAGAAAGGGGAAGAGATGTGATGGATGACAAGCTAGAGAAGACAACACCACATCAAATTAGGAGGAACATTTATCATTGTGGGAGCTAGTTTGGTCTAGTGATTAAGGTGCTGGCCTAAGAACCATGAGTTCTAGTCCTGCCTTAGGCATGAAAAAGCAGCTGGGTGACTTTGGGCCAATCACTCTCAGCCCAGCCCATCTCACAGGGTTCTTGTTATGAGGAAAATAGGAGAAGGAACGAGTATTTGGTACGTTCAGCACCTTGAGTTCTTTATAAAAATCAAATAAACAAATAAAATCTTTGAGCCGGTGAATTCTCCTACGCAAGCTAGGGTGTCCATAATAATTTTTGTAAGGTACTATCAGCCCTAGATGTTAGACTAGAGACCATGAAAGAGATTCTGCAAGAACAATAGAAGTATATTTTATTGAGATAGAGAATATTAACAGGATCTTGCAAGGCTGGTTGTGCTCTCCTCTCCTCCCTCTTACACCCCAAGAATCTGTGGGAGAGCCAGCCTGAGTCTTTTTCTAATGCTTCCCCAATCCCCCCCCAGGCTTAACCCATGGACCTTCTGTTGTCCTAACAGCTCCTGGATGTCTTCTCCGAGAGCATCTCTGTAGCTTCCCACCTATAGTGGGAAATGTGGGGTTTGTCAGGTCTCAATTAGAAGCCCCACCCTCATCTTTGCCCCTCTGGTATCCTCATGATAACCCATCGCTCATGCCTGGGTGAGACTATTTTTTTTTTTAATTAACTGGTTCCATAGCCTGAAACTCTTGAAACCCTGGCTTAACTGAAATCTCTACAGCCATGAATCAAACCACATTCCTCTTCCTGTTTCAATTTTGCCTGGTGGGTTTAGTCTGACTAAGAAACTTTCAGATGCCTTGTGGACTCATTGGCCTTTGCTCTGTGGACTAGCATTGTGGCTGGACTTAACTGGGATAGTTCTGGGGTTTTGATGAAGAGAGTTGCAGGGGAATATTAACAAAACCACTAAACCATAGTTGTGTGTGTTTGTGTGTGAGCAGGGCAGCACAGTAGAGTCCCTGTCAGTTTCAGCCACTTCTCTACCACTATAAGAGTTGGTTATCCAGAGGATAATCTATTTCAGTTCTTCTACTCCACAGATTGTTTCTGCCTGCAATTCTCTGATTTTGATATGGATAATTTCTGTGTCCCTGCTTGAGTCTCACTCTTTCTCCAGAATCTCTAGAAACTTGGATTTATCCCGCTGCTCTTTTTCAGCCAGCTTGGCTTTTATTCTTGATCCCCTATTCCCCACCCCCACCCCTTCTCTTTTATTTTTCTCATCCCTGAACTTTCATTCTCCTTTTTTGTAAACTTTGCTCGAGTTCCTTAACTTTCTATATTTGTTCTGTCTGAACTCCTTCAGTTTTCTCAATTCCTCTTTCATTCCCTGTTCGCTCTCCTCCCACAGTTTCTTTTAAACACTCTGGTTTCTCTCCTGTCTGCTGTTTTGTCTGCCTCTGCTTTGTGGCCTGCCGATGAGTGTCTCACAAACTGAGTGGGGTCCTTGAAACTATCAAAATCCAACCCTCTGCTCAGGGCAACCAGAATCTCATTCATTCATTCATTCATTCATTCATTCATTCATTCATTCATTTCCTGCCTTTATTATTTTTACAATAACTCAAGGCAACAAACACACATAATAGTGCTTCCTTCTATTATTTTCCCCACAATAACCCTGTGAGGTGGGTCCGTTTTAAATCAACAGCTGCAAAGTTTAACTTTTGCATTCTCCTGACAGATTTAAACTTTCACTCCCCCATCGAACAGCACAATCCCTCAAACAGGGCTTCTTAATATCTTAAAAACATCCTTAAAAGAAAACCATCTCTCCTACAAGTCAATTGCCAGGCTCTTTGGCGGCTGCCTAAATCAAAAGAAATTCCTTTGCCAAGCATGATTTCTGTTTAGCAAGATTAGTTGAGGGAAAAGAGATGGATTTACAAGAATTCCAGTAATTGAACTACGTTAAATTTAGAAGCAATAAATTGGAGTTCATCTTAGTATAGAGACTTGTTTACTTTCTTTCCAACAGCCTTCCTTTGATCTGGAGAGGATGCCAGAATAACATGACTATCTTCTGAATCTTTATCCGTTTGGAAATGAAACATTCCACCATTTAAAATGAAGAACAAGTTTTCACTGGAAAACTAAAGGCAGTCAGTCTGGTCCTTGAAGAAAATAAGTTTAATCTCCTGTATCAGATGAACGGCATCCTAAGATTCTTAAGGACCTGGATGATGGTCTGGCAAGCCATCGTATCTTGTCTTTGAGAAATCCTGGAGAACCAGGGAAATGTCAAATGGCTGGAAAAGAAACACCCCTAACTTCAAACAGAAGGAAAGAAAGAAAGAATCAGTCTGACTTCAATATCCAGGAAGATTCCAGAGCAGGCATAAAGAGCTCAATGGAAAATAGAATAAAATAGAGCTGGAAGCAAGGTCTACTCTACTCTACTCTACTCTACTCTACTCTACTCTACTCTACTCTACTCTACTCTACTCTACTCTACTCTACTCTACTCTACTCTACTCTACTGCTAGGGTAGCCAGCGTGAAGCAGGGGTGTCTGGAAGTCAAAATGGCAGCCCCAAGCCTGCGAGTGAAGCTCACTTTCTTTTAATGTGATGCCCACAGCGGGTGGAGCTTCAGTCACACAGTTGTGGCGACCATCATTTTCATCTCCGCAGACACATCTGGCTTAGCACCATGGGCTAGAAACAACAGCATGAAATTTAGCACTCAACCGCAGAGCTGTTGGCTTCCATATTCGCCCTCCCTTCCACAACAGGATGAGAAGTACCAAGTGGCTGAACGGTTGTTGTAAAACACATCTCAAAATAGTTGCCTGTTTCACACAGGATGTGAACCAGCCAGACAAGTGGTGTGGCTAAAATAACAGAAGAGTTATAAAAGAGTTGGAAAAGACCTCGGAGGTCTTCTAGTCCACCCCTATGCTTAAGCAGGAGACCCTATAACCCTATAATTAATGGACTATTGCATCCAGTTTTGGTGGCCACGATATAAAAAAGCTGCTGAGACTATGGAAAGAGTACAGAGAAGAGCAATGAAGATGATTAGCAGGCTGGAGGCTAAAACATATAAAGAACAACGGCAGGAATTGGGTGTGTCTAGTTCAATGAAGAGAACGACGAGGGGAGACAAGATAGCAGTGTTCCAGTATTTGAGGGGCTGACACAAAGAGGAGGGGGTCCACCTATTTACTAAAGCACCAGACGGCAGGACACGATACAATGGATGGAAGCTTGTTGACGAGAGACCCAACCTAGAATTAAGGAGAAACTTCCTAAGGGTGAGAGCAATCAAGCAACTTCCGAAGTTGTGGGTTCTCCAACACTGGAGGTTTTTAAGAAGATTTTGGACAGCCACCTGTCCAGAATGGTAACAGACTCTCCTGTTTGTGCAGGGGGTTGGACTACAAGACCTCCAAGGTCCCTTCTAGTCCCTTTCCATGTTCTAACCATGCTGAGATGGAGAATTCTAGGAAGTTGCACACACTGCCTAGACTAGAGTATGCCATGTCTCCTACACACATCCCCATTTTATTTACTTCCTTGGTGGTTAGTCTAGCTCTAGCATATGTCTTTTAGCTTTCCAAGTAGCCTTCTGTGAGACAGATCTTCTGTCTGATGTGATTTATATTTATATATTTCAGAGAATGACGGCCACCCAACTTGAACGTTTGCAACTCTGGGAAGCTACAATAAATCCAAAATAAGTGAAAAACTAAGTGACAGTTCAGTTAAAATGAAAACAAACCCTTGGAACTCACAACGGTTACTCGCTTCAAAAAGGGACTCTAATCGTCCTGGCCTCTGTTATGCTGAAGTCCAGGGGTCCGGGTAGAGACCCCCGCCCCCCGACGCAGCTTATTGCGAACCGGCTTCTGGATTTGCCCGGACCCTCCGCTTCGGGCTCATCTAAGTCCCCTCGTGCAGTGCAGCCGCGGGTTGGGGGCCACTAAGCGGGACAGTCCCAACCTTGAGGCGAAGAGTCTTCTCGCGAACCCTCCTAGCTGCTCCCGCAGCCGCTTACCTGCCGCCTCTCCTCGCCTCTCTTCTTCTCTCTTCTCCCGGCTGGCGGCGCTTTCCTTTACTGCGGCATCGGCGCAGCCAAGCACAAGCGCCACGATCAGCGGGGTTTGATCCGCGCCGGCTGAGGCGGGGCTTTTCTTTTGGTGGCCCACGTGGGGACGGTCACCGGGGCAGTCCTCAGAGGCGTGGGGGAAACCCCCGCGAGTGGAAGTCCCGGGCTTCTCCGTGGCAGAATGTGCGGGGAGCGATGCTCAAGCCGGGCGGGCGGAAAAGGGCCGCCCAGATGCCGGCTTTGGAATTGGGGACGCCGGCCATTTGTGGGTGCCAACCGCCCCCGCCGTTGCAATCAGCAGGCTGACACTAGACGCGGCTGGCTCGGCCGTTGCTTCATGCTTGGGGCTAATCTTCTTTCTGGAACCTCCCCCCCCTCCTCCTTCCTCTTCTTCTCTCCTTCCTCCCTTGCGTCTGGTTTTTGGCTTGGGCAAGAGTAAAAATTCATATACGAACGGAAGAGCACCGGAGAGTCTTTTCTGAAGTCAGTGGCCATAATAATAAAACAAAATAAATAAAATAAAATCCAGTGGTAAGGAAACTAATCAAGGAGAGAAGCAACCTGGAACTAAGGAGAAACTTCCTGACAGTTAGAAATAATTAACCAGTGGAACTCCTTGCCTCCAGAAGAGGTGAATGCTCCAACATTGGAAGTTTTTAAGAAGAGACTGGACAGCCATTTGTATGAAATGGTACTATAGGGTTTCTTGCCTGTGGGGGGTTGGACTAGATGACCTCCAAGGTCCCTTCCGGCTTTATTATTATTATTGTTGTTGTTGTTCCTAATGTATAGAAGAAGAACGTTGAGTCATTCAATGCTTTCTTTCCTCTGGGAAGAGACACCGGCAGATCCCGGAGTGTCCCCCTCCCTCGCCCTGGCAGTGCTACAGCCCTGCCCTGGATTTTCTCCGCCAAATATACTTTAAAGCTCAGAGTTCGCGCACTTTCATTGAAATTCTGCTGCGCGTAGATGTTATATATATGCGATATATGTTCAGGGCAGCAAGACTACTTTGTGCACAAAAATGGAAGGGCACTTTGATGATTCCCACAGTGGATGAACGGCTGCAAAAGTGGACGAAGTTAGCAGAGAGGGCTAAAGTGACTGCTTTGAGGAAAGAAAAAAACACACAATTACTTCCATTTCTACTTGGAAACCGCTTCTGGACTTTGTGCTTGAGGTGGGAAAAAAAACAAAACTTTGATTTGGGGTTTTAGCCATTAGATAGGTTGGTTGTTATAGACATGGCTTAGACTTATATACCGCTTCACAATGCTTTACAGCCTTCTCTAAGCGGTTTACAGAGTCATCCTATCGCCCCGAACAATCATGATCCAAATGTGAGCATCACTTAAACGAGGAATCCTGCCTGATTACATTTCAAGTCATCCTCCACTTACAACAGTTCGTTTACTGACTGTTTGAAGTTACAGTGGCACTGAAAAAAGGGACTCATGACTGTTTTTCATACTTACCACCATTGTATCTTCCTCAGGGTCATGTGATCCAATTCACACACTTGGCAACTGACTTGTATTTACGACGGTTGCTGTGTCCCGGGGTCCTGTGATCCCCTTTTGCAGCCTTCTGAGAAGGAAAATCAATGGGGAAGCCAGATTCACTTAACAACCATGTTACTAACTTAACAACTGCAGTGATTCACTTAACAACCGTGGCGAGAAAGGTCGTAAAATGGGACAAAACTCTCTTAACAACTGTCTCACTTAACAACAGAAATTTTGGGCTCAACTGTGGTCGTAAATCAAAGTCTAACTCTACTAGAGCCTGCAGGAGCAGTTCATCTGCAGAATAAAGGACAATTTCTCGGTTGCCAAATACCACATTTCTTCTTCTTCTTCTTTTTATTTTTAGTTGAGAAATACAGTCAGCAACTCTGGCACAACTTTTGTTTCTAATTTAGCACCTCACCCTCTCAGTCCTGCTTCCAATAATGGGACGGCGATGCCTGCAGTCTAAATTAAAATAGGTTTATCTTTGGAGGATCCCAGTGTGGACCATGTTATGTACAATGGCAGCTAAGTTGCATGGGACAGTCTTTTAGCGCCCTCTAGAGGATATGTCGCATTTGCCAGCTGTCCAAAATGGGTCCTTATTTATGGGTTGCTGTTCAGTTGATGAATTTCCAGCTAGAGAATTTCCCATCTGATTCTTGCCCTTCTGCTGGGATGGCCAGGTTGTCACAGAATAATTGGGCTGGAAGGAACCCTGGAGGTCTTCTAGTCCAACCTCTTCCTAGAGAAACAAAACGGATTGTGCTGCAGCTGCATGACTAGGGAGCCTGCTTAAGCTTTCGAGGCAGCTGTGACACATTGTCCACACAGCAATGTTTCCTAACTTTAAGGTAGGAAGTTCTGGGAGTTCCAAATCTACCTTTCTTAAAGTTGTCAAGATTGAAAAACAATGGAGAGGAGTGTTTGTCCATTCCAACATACAGGAAGTCCTCAACTATTCTATTCTATTCTATTCTATTCTATTCTATTCTATTCTATTCTATTCTATTCTTTATTCTTTTTCTATTCTATTCTATTCTATTCTATTCTATTCTTTCTCTATTCTTTCTCTATTCTATTCTATTCTATTCTTTCTCTATTCTATTCTATTCTATTCTATTCTATTCTATTCTATTCTTTCTCTATTCTTTTTCTATTCTATTCTATTCTTTATTCTTTTTCTATTCTATTCTATTTTTTCTCTGCTCTACTCTATTCTATTCTATTCTATTCTATTCTATTCTATTCTTTATTCTTTTTCTATTCTATTATATTCTATTCTATTTTTTCTCTACTCTATTCTATTCTATTCTTTCTCTATTCTTTCTCTATTCTATTCTATTCTATTCTATTCTTTCTCTATTCTATTCTATTCTTTCTCTATTCTTTTTCTATTCTATTCTATTCTATTCTATTCTATTTTTTCTCTACTCTATTCTATTCTTTCTCTATTCTTTCTCTATTCTATTCTATTCTATTCTATTCTATTCTTTCTCTATTCTATTCTATTCTATTCTATTCTATTCTTTCTCTATTCTTATTCTATTCTATTCTATTCTATTCTATTCTATTCTATTCTATTCTATTCTATTCTATTCTATTCTATTCTATTCTTATTCTATCCTTCTGCTTTACAGCATTCTCTGAATGGTTTACAGAGTCAGCACATTGCCCCCAACAATTTGGGTCCTCATTTTACCCACCTCGCAAGGATGAAAGGCTGAGTCAACCCTCAGCCGGTCAGGATCGAACTGCTGGCAGCCTCCCATGCTGCCTTCTAGCCACTGCTCCCCCAGGCCTGACAATAAACAGCTAAATGAATGATGACTCGGCACAGTGTGTTTGCACGCTATCAAGCCAAAGCACGAGCCTTCTGCTGCCCTTATGGAGCCTGTATGAAACCCAAAGACAGACGCCGTCTTATTTCATGTCGTTTCGTATTTTACCCGAGAAACAAAGCTTGAAAGGAGAAAGGTCATCTGTGGTCTTTTCTTGCATCAACATTTCTTAGGTAAACCTTCAAAAGAAAATTGCTTTACTGTTTTGCAAGCGGGCCCCAGAAGAAAACAGGAAGAGCAGAAGGCCCTGATCATAAAATCCAAGAGCTGGAAGGGAGCCTGGAAGTCTTCTAGTCCAGCCCCTCTGCCCAAGGCAGGTGTCCTTATACTATCTATCCTGGAGAAATGGTAGTCCAATCTTTTCTTGAAAACCTCCAGGGATGGAGCACCCACAACTCCAGGAGGCAAGCTGTTCCGTTGGTTAATAGTTCTCACTGTCAGGAAACTTCTCCTTAGTCCTAGGTTGCTTCTCTCCTTCGTAAGTTCTCCCTTATCAGGAAATTCCTCATTTCCAGATTGGATCTCTCTCTGACGGGTTTCTACTCATTGCCTCATGTGCTTTGGAGAATAAATCGACATCCTCTTACTGTGACAGCCCTTCAAGTACTGGAAGACAGTTATCATGTGTCCCCAATCCTTCTCTTCAATAGGCTTGACATATGTAGTTCCCTCAACCGTCCATCATACTATTCGGCCTCCAGTCCCCTGATCATCTTTGTTGCTCTTCTCTGTGCTCTTTCTAGAGTCTCAACATCTTTTTTACATTGTGGTGACCAGAACTGCATGCAGTATTCCAAGTGTGGCCTTACCAAGGCATTATAGAGTAGTATTAACACTTCAAGTGATATAATAATAATAATAATAGTAATAGTAATAGTAATAGTAATAGTAATAATAATAATAATAATAATAATAATAATAATAATAAAAAAAAAAATAGTAGTAGTAGTAGTAGTAGTAGTAGTAGTAGTAGTAGTAGTAGTAGTAGTAGTAGTAAAGTTGGAAGGGACTTTGGAGGTCATCTAGTCCAACCCCCTACTCAGGCAGGAAACCCTATACCATTTCGGACAAATGGCTGTCCAGTCTCTTCTTAAAAACTTCCAGTGTTGGAGCATTCACCACTTCTGGAGGCAGGTGGTTCCACTGGTTAATTGTTCTCACTGTCAGGAAATTTCTCCTTAGTTCTAGGTTGCTTCTCTCCTTGATTAGTTTCCATCCGTTGCTTCTTGTCCTGCCTTCAGGCGCTTTGGAGAAGAGCTTGACTCCCTCTTCTTTGGGGCAGCCCCTGAGATATTGGAAGGCTGCTATCATGTCCCCCCTCATCCTTCTCTTCATTAAACTAGACCTACCCAATTCCAGCAACTGTTCCTTATATGTTTTAGCCTCCAGTCCCCTGATCATCTTTGTTGCTCTTCTCTGTACTCTTTCTAGAGTCTCAGCATCTTTTTTACATCAAAAACTGGATGCAGTATTCCAAGTGTGGCCTTATCAAGGCGTTATTAAATGGTATTAATACTTCATGTGATCTTGATTCTCTCCCTGTTTGATGCAGCTCAGGACTGTGTTGGCTTTTTTGGCAGCTGCAGCACACGGCTGGCTCATATTTAAGTGATTGTTCACTAGGACTCCTAGATCCCTCTCAAAAGTTACTGCTATTGAGCCAGGCCCCACCTATTCTGCACCTGTGCGTTTGGCTTTTCCTAAGTTAAGTGCAAGTGCTTCCTTTTCTAACCACTGAAAAGCATTTTGTGAGTGGGATGCAATAGGCCAGGGGGAGGTTTGCTGAAACATGGGGGCTTCCAGGAACAGGCCGGGACAGGATTAGTCCCATGTTTCTTACAGTCCCAAACAACCAGCCTGGCACAGAACACAAACAACTGGTACTTTGAGCTATATTTATCCAGACTGTAATCAAGAAGACATCTGCACTAATAAAATTTGCCTTTAATATACATAGCTTAAATTTCAATGTACTCTCATAAATTTTTTACACCACAGGAATTTTTTTTTTTAAAAAATATTTACATTAGAAAAAAGAGCCATACAAATATTGAAGGAAAACAGGTCAGTATCATCTCCAAGCTACCCAGAGGTATGAAGTCACCCAGGTCCACCAAAGAATTGCTTGGCTGAGTTTCCAGGGAGATCCTCCCACGAGCGTCTCCCACCCAAAGTCCTCCTGGCCGGGACGAGGTCAGATGCTGGAGCTGCTGGACTGGAGCTTCAGGCTGTTGGAAGTTGTGCACTGCATGGAACTCGACCTGCGAGCCTGCAGCACTTTGGCCAAGTACCAAAGGAAGATGAGGAAGCCTGGAGAAACGGGAGAAGATCAGAGATGTTGAGCAGTGAGGAATCCGGACACAGGGACGGAACTGCAGTGTAATGTGGCACTGCAGGAATAACCTTGAGGGACAGGAGGAAGAGCTGCAGCCAAAGCAACAGATAAAAGAAATCGGAGTCAAAGAATAGACAAAAAAGAAAAGAGTTGGAAGGGAGCTTAGAGGTCTTCTAGTCCAGCCCCTGCTGTCCAAACTTTTCTTGAAACCTCCAGTGATGGAGCACCCACAACGTCTGGAGGCAAGCTGTTCCACTGATTCCTATTGTGTTGTGTAAAAATCCAGGAGACAAAAACTGATAAAGTGGCAGATCTCAAGACTAAAGTAAGCAGGAATAATTACTGACCTGGGAGAGAATGGATGATGGTGAAAAGTTAAGACAACCAAACCCTTGATCATCCCATCCGCTTCGGATCTCCGTCACTTTGACAAGCTCAAATTGAATTGAAAGGATGAAGTCATAACCAAAATGCAAGCCTCTTGTGTTGTGTGAAAATCCAGGGGCCAAAACCTGGCAGATCTCAAGAGTAAGGTGAGCAGGAATAATTACTGACCTTGGAGAGAGTTGATGATGGTGAAAAGATAGACGGCCACCAACTTGAAGGTCCCAGAAGCGAACGCAAAGAAGACCAGCCCCCACGGGATGCCCAGCACGCAGCTCAGGCCCAGGAGCATCACCGCATATTCCCAGTGATGCTCTCGGTGTCTCAGCCTGAGAATCTCATACACCATGGTGGCCAGCATTATGCTGTTGAAGAAGAGCACCAGGCTTAAATAGCCCAAATTCAGGAAATTGTGGATCTCCTGTTTGGTAATCCAACAGCTGGAGAAGAAGAGAGAAAAAAAAAACAGAAAAATATGTCTAGGCACTATTTAACTAGCTAGAAGGCGCATGAAAACTGGAATATAAGCCTTCAAATCGGCTGAGAAATTTTCTTTAAGATGACACCTTCCCAAAAAACAGGAATGTCCAAGACACTCATGTGCTCACCTTTTGCAACTCTCCGGCGAGCAAAGTCAATGGGGAAGCCAGATTCACTTAACAACCGTGTTACTTGCTTAACAACTGCAGCGATTCGCTTAACAACTGGGTCAAGAAAAGTCGTAAAATGGGGCAAAACTCACTTAACGAAGGTCTCAGCAACAAAAAGTTGAGGCTCCATTATGGTTGTTAAGTCAAGGCCTACCTATATGTGATTCACTTAACTGCAGTGATTGGCTTATCGGCAGGGCAAAAAGAAAAAAAAGGGTCATAAAACCAGGCGCGACTCAATTAACAAGCGCCTAGCTTAACAGTGGGAGTTCTAGTTCCAATTGCAGCCGTAAATCCAGGGCGACCTGCATTGTATCTCAGCTTCTACAGCCGTTAATCCTCAAGGAGAAATGCACCTCTCGGAAAGGACAGTAGGGGGCGCTCTTTTCCACGCTCCAAGAACTTACATGGTTGAATTGGTGTATTTATCAGCAGCCTCGTAGACCTTAAAAGAGAAAGGGCCGTAGTGGGACTGATCGATCACAAAAATTAGACACACGATGAACATGGGAAGACCTGCGGAGGAGAAGAGTCCACATTAGGGCTTCTTCCATACTCCCTGCCCATATTGCTCACTCAGAAAGTTTTTTAAGTTTTTCGTTGATTTAAACCAGGGGTAGGCAACCTGGGCCCTTTTATGACTCCTGGACTTCAACTCCAAGAATTCCTGAGCCAGCTGTGCTGAGGGGAAAGGGAGAGGTTTCCAAGCTGAGCCATGCTGGCTCAGGAATTCTGGGCGTTGAAGTCCACGAGTCATGAAAGAGCCCAGGTTGCCTACCCCAGGTTTAAACTATTTCCATACTGTCCAGTATCTACTTCCCTCCTAGATTTTTCCAAAGTGAAACACCGAATAAAGCAATATCTGATTAAAAAGGACTCAGAGAATCTAAAACTAGAGCCAAGTGAAATTTGCAGGACAATCGTGAGAATCATGAAGGACACAGTAGCTGGAGAGCCGTTATTAGTCTAGCAAAAAAAAAATTAGCAGCTTTTCTGAAGAGCAAATATGATTTAAAAAGGCTTTTTTTTGTTAAAAACACGGATGAAATGATGCCGTTTTTAACCAAACTCATTCATCAAAACTGAGCGATTCATCCTGACAGTAAGGGAAGAGATTTTTTAAAAAGCATGGAATTTTCTTAAGAAGACAAAGTCTCAGAAAATTGAAAAACGTCGAATAGATTACAATCAAATGCGATGCCCTCCTTATAAAGGCCGGGATGGCAGGGTCCTTTCTTCCACCTTGTTCTTCGGTGCCTACATACCAGGGCTTGTCTGTGAGAATCCGGCTCATCTAAAGCCACTTCCTGAATTCACAGCAGAAACTAGTCTAAATTTAAGCTTCGCATCAATCTTTTGTGGTCGTGCCCACCGTCTTCCTCTCTGTCTGCTTCTTTTTCTACAGAAAGCCACTCCGAGGTGACTCGTCTCGCTCCCCTGAGCTTTTGCCACTCACCCCAGCCCACCAGGCAAAGTTTGAAGAGCAAGTGTTTGACGTAGGAGTTGAAGACTTCGATCACCAGCCGGTAGAGACTGTAGCCCTCAATGGCCATCCAGGTCAAGCACGCAAGCAAGCCGAAGTGCAGGAACATGGCACCAGCTTTGCAAGCCGTGTCCCCTCCGGTGGGAGCCAGGGGCACCGCGATGAGGAAGCTCATGTCGAGGAGAAAGATGGCCCAGAGGAGGTTCATGTGGACATAGACAATGTGGTCCCTCTGCTTTTTCCTGTGAAGAGAAGGAAGAGCATCGTACTTCTCTTCTTGATTGAGGCTCTGAGCTGCGGTCATGAAAAGCCTTAGAACCTGTTGTGGGAAAGGGTTTGATCCCCAAGACCTGATCCCTGAGTTATCTAGCCTGCCTCTGTCAAAGCTGCCATCCTTCGCTCACCTCTATGCTTCTCTTAGCTGCCAGTCTGCCATACATTATTGGGGGGGGGAGGGAGTAATTAGGGAAGGGACCTCAAGCAAGACATGGCAAACCCAAAGGGATAGTTGTGCCATCTGGAGAGATCCCAAGATCATAGTCCTGGGAATGGAATGCAGCACCTGTCCATCTACCAACCATGACAGGGACCGTTACCAAAACATCTTCTCGAACTGTGACCGGACAATGGGGAGTTAAGGAGGGGAAGGGGGAAGCTAACACAGAGATTTTTGTGCTCAAATTTCAGTCCTGGCTTTGCATTAGTAAAAGGAACCTTTTCACTACAAATGGAGTAGAGAGTTAGTTCTTTCCTAAGGGATCAGATTTGGGCCAGGTCTGACAGTCTCCCTCCAGATGTTCTGCAGGCCGTTCTCACAGTCCATTGCTGTTGGCTGTGCTGGTTGAGGTTCATGGAAACTGAAGTCCAAAGGACTGGACGGCCACGGGTCATTGACCTTTGCCCATCTCAGAAAATATATATCCTTCAAATGCACACAGACCCCCACCCCCCACAGACCTCTGTCCATGGTGTCCCCTTCCCATTGATATGGTAGACCAGGGGTAGGCAACCTTGGCTCTTTTATGACTCGTGGACTTCAACTCCCAGAGCTATGCTGGCTCAGGAATTCTGGGAGTTGAAGTCCACGAGTCGTAAAAGAGCCAAGGTTGCCTACCCCTGTGGTAGACGAATGCCCCACTCCACACAACCTACTTGGAACAAAGGAAAAAGAAGATGGTGAAGAACGAAGCTAGAGCCGAAATGACGCAACCAACGTAAGTCACAATAGTCAGGTACTCATAGTGGATGTGGTCTATATCTGGAGAGGCTACCTGCACAAGAAAGGAAGAAAATGGTTTAGGAAGCACAAGAGGGGAGAAAAGACCGCAGAAATCGTCCAGTGATTCTATAGATGAGCTCGGGGCCCAGCTCCACCAGACTGTGTCATATTACAACTCAATCAGTGACCAGGTTTCTTGGGGTTGTCAGTTGTTGCAGATCTTCCGCAACATCTGGAAGGGCCCCCATTTTTTTTCCCGACCTGCTCTGCAAGATACTCACCATGAGCACCGCAAAGAAGGTGAGATGGTCACAAAGGCAGGTGGTCTGATATTCCTCTTGTATCACTTCACAGCCTGATGTGTTCCACTTTCCAGGGTGGCTGGCTAAAATCAAAAAGAGCATTTCATCAACGATTCGCCTTCTTGTGTCCACGTGGGGATTCCAGACTAATTCCCCATCTGACTCCTCCCCCAATCTCAGCCAGTGTCTCTCCAACACCCACCTGGCTTCATGTCCAGGTCAGGACTCGAACTCACAATCTCCTCGTTTCTTAATCTTAACTATTACACCAAACTGGTATTTTAAATTGGTTTTAACTAAATTTTAGTAGAAGCGGCCTATTTAAATATTTATTTTTAATCATTAATCATTTAATCATTTTCTTAAATTTTGTATTGTATTGTATTAGTTGTTTTTAAACTGGCTGTAAGCCGCCCTGAGTCCTCCGGGAGAAGGGCGGGGTATAAATATAATAAAATTCAAATTCAAATTCAGGGATCGGATTATTTAGTTTCTAATCTTTGCTAACCGCAGCTGCATTTTCCACAAGTGGACAAATGCAGAAATTACTGAAGGAGAAACCCAGAGCTGCCTTTCAAAACTTCATTTTTACACCCCAACTCCTTTAGATACTTACCCTTGGAACTCACGTCCCAGAAGACACATATGGGAGTCAAATTCCTCTGAAATAAGATGAAAATTCAAATAGTGAACATCGCACATGGCACAAGAAAAATATCCACAGGGAAATGAGATTATTTACCTCTTTTTCTGGCTCAAAAACAGCAACTGTGAGAGGGACCTTGGAGTCCTAGTGGATGATCACTTAAATATGAGCCAGCAGTGTGCGGCAGCAGCCAAAAAAGCTAATACAATCCTGGGTTGCATAAACAGAGGCATAGAATCAAGATCACGCGAAGTATTATTACCGCTTTATAAAACCCTAGTGAGGCCACACCTGGAATACTGCAGCCAGTTTTGGTCACCATACTGCAAAAAAAGATGTTGAGACCTTGGGAAAAGGGCAGAGAAGAGCAACTAAATTGATTAAAGGCCTGGAGACTAAAACATACAAAAAATGGTTGCAGGATTTGGGAGGTAAAAAGGATTAGGGGCAACATGATAGCAGTATTCCAGGATTTGAGGGGCTGCCACAAAGAAGAGGGGGATCAACTTATTTTCCAAAGCACCAGAAACAATGAACGGAAACTAATCAAGGAGAGAAGCAATCTGGAACTAAGGGGAAACTTCCTAACAGTGAGGACAATTAACCAGTGGAACAATTTGCCTCCAGAAGTTATAGGTGCTCCATCACTGGAGGTTTTTAAGGAGATTGGACAACCACTTGTCTGGAATGGTATAGGGTCTCCTGCCTGAGCAGGGGGTTGGACTAGCTAGAAGACCTTCAAAGTCCCTTTTGGATCTATTCTGATTGATTGAAAGCTGCTGCTTTGAAAACAAAATTATCTTGTTTAAACTTCAGAAATTAAAGCAGTTGAAGAAAAATTTGAAAGACGCCAAAGCATATTCAAAAAAGAAAGAAATTGATTATTTTGGATTACAAAGCAACATTCTACATTTCTCTGGCTTAGCTGCTGGCTGATTGCTGCTTATTGGAAAAACCTTCTGCTTAAAACCACGTATTTGCATGTTATTTCCCTAGGAGTGATGCCCTGTTTTATTTTGAGCTGAATTGCTTGTAAGCGTACAAAGGAACCAATTTCCCAAGGGCTGAACATATCTAAAGAATAGTCTTTCGATTTCCATTGTGTTGCAAACAAAATCCTGGAATATAGTTGGTGGAGAAAATATGCTAAATTATCAGGTGCAATTCTACAGCACACCATTGTGTAAGAAATTGTTTCTATGATTTTTGGGCTGGAGGCCAGGGATTACTTAGTCAAGCAACTCCACCCCGAGGCAGGAAAACCAAGTTCTGTTTTTGTGTTTCTGAACTGAACATTTTGTATTGAATCATAGAATCATGGAAGGGACCTTGGAGGTCTTCTAGTCCAACCCCTTGCTCAAACAGGAGACCCTATTATCACCCCAGACAAATGGCTGTCCAATCTTTTTTTTTAAAACCTATATCTATTAACATAATGCCTGTGAATATAATCCCTGTTCCCTAGTGGTCTCGACATCTTTTTTCGTATGATGGTGACCAAAACTGGACGTAGTATTCCAAGTGTGGCCTTACCAATGCAATATAGAGCAGCACTATTGGTTCACGTAATCTTGATGCTATCCCTCTGTTGATGCAGCCCAGGCAGTGGTGGGATTCAAATATGTGAACCACCGGTTCTCTGTGTGGATGCCGCCTCCAGAAGTCCATTCTGGGCCTGGGCAACAAAAAATTAGCTACCGGTTCTGCCGAACTGGTGCGATCCGGCTGAATCCCATCACCGAGCCCAGGACTGCTTTGGGTTTTTTGGACACTGCAGCACACAGCTGGCTCATTTGTCTACCAGGTCACCTAGATCCCTCTCACATCAGTGACTCCCACTGAAGTCCCACTAGAAATTGATTTTAGGAGCAAGGCTAATTCACACGTTCACCAGATATCCTGAAGATATTTATCCACTTCCTTTGTGAATGTGTTGGATTACCAGTCCCATATAAAGATTAAGAAGTGGAGAAACCTTGCTTGATAGAAGTCAAGTGTCTCACGGAGTAATCTTTGGCTTAGTTTGTCCTACCACTAAGTTCTCAGGGGTTCCTTATCTCAAGGCAGCTCGTGAAAAATCTTGATGGAGATTCTCTTCCGCCCCACCAGGGAGATGGGGAGAAGATATTTCAGACCTACCGGAAGGAGATGGTGCCAAAAGGTGATAGAGAGACGCTCTTCTCTGGGCAACCCATGGACAGGCCGGTTGCCCACTGAGATGCCAATCACATTTCCACCAAGGAGTGAGTTGGAATCGTTATCCTGCCAGAAAGGAACTTTGAAAACTAAACATACATAGATATATACCGGTACATAGATACATACATACAGTTGATTTCAACTGCACATCTCATGCCACTTTTTTCAGTGCTGTTGTAACTTTGAACGGTCACTAAGCGAAGTGTTGTAAGTCAAGGACGACCTGTACTGTTTTTCAACCTTTAAGCATCTTTAAGATACTGTAGTTGGACTTCAGCTACCAGAATTCCTCAGCCAGTATACAGGTTTGCTTATTTTGGACTGGACTGGATTGGACTGGATTGGAGTGCCAACCACCTTGTCTAGATGCCAAATGCTGGGTCAGATGACTGCAAGGACAGTGTGATGGTCCTAATCACAATCACAAATGTCATATGTCACATTTTTCAGTGTCATTGTCACTTCTAATTGTCATTAAACCAATGGTTGTAAACTGAGGACCATGTGTATTTGAATAACTAAGCTCAATTCCTTACAACCCACCATATAGTATATACACAGCAAGGGGTCGTTAGACCTATGTGACCTGGGAAGCTAAGCTGGGTCAGCTCTGTTTCAAATTTGGATGGGAAACAGCCAAGGAGTCTCAGAACTCCAGGGTAGACTGGGAACTCAGGGGGGGGGGGAAATATTACGAAAGAAGTCCCAAAGGTGCTTTTTCACGAGGCAACTGGACTGTCTGGTTTTTTCCTTCGAAGACGTTTCGCTTCTCATCCAAGAAGCTTCAGTTGCCTCGTGAAAAAGCACCTTTGGGACAACCAGGACCTGGAGGGATGAGAACCTCCATAGATGTTGCAAAAGAAAGCAGCAGTCAACCGTTTCTGTCTTGTTACGAAGAAAACGGCGGCACGTTCAGGACTTGAGCTCAACCCGAAGACGATTTTTACCTTCCTGAGCAAACCTGTCTCAAACTAGGGCTCTTGCACAGCTGTTGACTTTGCAACAAAAGCTTTCCTAGGAGCCCAACTTTGCTGATGCAAGAGGTAAAGCCGCTTGGTTTCATAGAATATCTGAGACATGAGAAAAAGAATACCACACAGCCCCAAAGCAGACAGATTCCAGCATGCACAGCTAACTTTTCATAGATCAGGGGGCAGATTCTGAAACCTCGTGAGGAAATGCGTGTTGTCTCTGGTTTTAGACTGAAACACGGTTGCATCGTCTCAACGCAGCTGTTCACTTCTGTTTGATGCACCAAAGTTGGGGCTGACTTGGAGGAACCTTCAACTTTAAAGCAGGCGGGGTGGGGGGAGCCTTGAACATCTGCTCTGAACTTGCTTTGAACATCTGGCGCTCTTGGCACAGCACTCAGACAAAATAAATTCATGTCCAAAGCCCCACTGAATTCTTCGGGTTTTTTTAAATATGCGAACGAATCAGCGCCAAGGGCACCAAAACGGTCCTTCCCATCACTACCTGGAAGAGGGTCTCGCTTGTGGCAGACAACACCACAACCTTCATCTCCTCGCTCTTGAAGCCATCTCTGGTTTTCTCAAACACTTTTTTGGGCAGGTTAACTTGGAACTTACGGACGACGTTGTTCTCCTGCAGACAGAAAATGAGCCCATCTTTACAAGCAAGAAGTGGGGATCCTTATTTATTTATAGAGCAGAGAATCTATCATGGCTCCCAACGTCTTTATTAGAGATGCAGGAGAGAGTTTTAAAATGCAATTATTCACGAGACACAAGTGGCAAATAGTAAACAACCACGGAAATGCATTCAGGTTTTCTTGCAGACATGCTCTTTGGTTTGGGAACTGATGACAAAAAATGGGCAACAGGAAAAGAGAAGATGGAGCAAAGTGGAAGTTGACAGACATCATTTTGATGCTGGACTCACCTTCAGGGTAACTCCAATGGGAAGGCTTTCAGGAATTTGGAGTGGGACTTTCTGGATATTTGCATGCATTACTCTCCCATCAAAAGTCTTGTGGTCTCCTGGGAATTCCAGTTCGTTCAGCTTTGACTCCAATTGCTGCAGGAACCTGTTGAGGATGGGAGAACTGGATGTAGCTGGAGATACTACACTGGACCATTATTCATCTGGGCTAACTGAGAAGGATGGATCCAGCAGTTGTAATCCATAAACCACAGCTTAGCCTTCTGTGGGAATCTGGCTATCATTGCTTCAACCATCCATGATTCCGGCAAACCATAATTAAACACAATGTGTAAATCACAGCTTCTTTGGTCCTCAAAACTGTGCAAGCATTTGCTCTCAATCCATTTCTGAATGTTGCCTCCCAGATCTGCTTTACACAATTTAAGGAACTAGATTTGAAGGCATAAATTAGTTTTACTGGAATTTTTTTTTTAAAGAGAGCTCTTTTTGAACAGACACTTGTGGACTCAAAGAACTGGACTCAGGGATTGCACTTGCCATTTCTCCAACACCATCGTTTTGTGTTGCACTTGCCATTTCTCCAATGCAATCATTTTGTGTCTCATTACACATCCATACACATATCCACCGTGTTCAGATGGCATTTAGAACACCCTCCAAATGCTAAGTACACGTCATCCTCAATTTACGACTATTCGTTGAACAGCTGTTACAGCAGCCTCGAAAAAAGGGACTCATGACCTGCACTCACACTTACAATTGTTGCACTACCCACCGCCTCAGTCACACAATCACAATTTGGGCACTTGGGAACTGGCTCACATTTACAACCAGTGGCAGCATCTTACAGTCCCAGGATTATAATTTGCGACTTTTTTTGCAAATTTCTGGCAAAAATACAGCTGAAGAACTATATGGTTTGCCTAATGACCATTGTGAAAATCATCATAAGATCGGGTCCGACTTGACTTACGACCTCAATGACTTACAACAGAAATTCTGATCCCAATTGTGATCATAAGACAAGGACCACCTGTAGGTGCTAATCTGAAAAGTTGGGAGATTCCAGATCCTAAGACACATACAAGACTTGTGCAAAGAGCATCTCTAACCACTTGCACGACCGGACTTGTGCAAGAATTGTGCAAAGAGCACCTCCCACCACCCTGCTCCATCTCCATCTCCTTTTTGCAGCCAATGAACAATGCCTACTTTATTAATATGCATGAATAAGAATGCAGATTGGCTGCCAAATACTCACAAAAATGGATCTTCCGAAGGCCCGTCTGTATCGCTGCTAGGACGGGTTTCCAAGCTCTTCAGTTTTAACTCTGCTTCCCCAATTTCTTCTTCCACCGTGCTGGTTTTCTTCTGGTCTCTCTTCCCATAATCTACGGAGCAAAGCAGACCAGCAAAGTAAAATAAAAGGGCCTCACTAGTTGGCTGTTCCTGGGAAAAACCCGCCATGGCCAACTGGTCATTAAGTGTGAAAAACGGTCCTAAGTCACTTTTTTCAGCGCCATTGTACCTTTGAACGGTCGCTAAGCAAACTGTTGTAAGTCAAGGACTACAGTGCGTTCAATAGTGAATGCAAATGTTAATTCTGTCTTTCCCTTTCCAGGGTCCATCCCGGTCTGATGCAACTCACCTAGGAAGAACTTGCATCCCGTCACGCTGGGAAAGGAGTGACTGACAGAGCCATTGTTGAAGGCGTAGGAGACGTTACTGAGTGAATCGGGCCCATCTTCGCTCGCTTCGCAGGCGACATTTAGAGAGGAGAACGGATAATTAGCTTGGTAACTCAGCTGGTAAGTGCTACTGATTCCGTAGGTAAGGTTGAACAGATGGTCATCCTGAAACCAGTAAATGCAAAAGCGATACGTCCCCAAAAGTGTAGGCAAAGCCCAGGACTGCTGAGGTCCCGGTGGGAACGGGGCGCTTATATTAAGTCCGTCAGCACCGTTGGAGATTGTGATGGTGTCTGGCTGGGTTTCGTAACGGATGTGGCCTTCAACCGTCTGCCTCCGGTTAGCGCAGAAGCGAAAGTCGTAGCTGCTGACCCCATGCACACCTACAGCACACCCCAAAAAAGAAAAGCAAAGATTTAGGATCGGAGGGAATTACCCAAAGATCTGCAAGGGTTTGCAGTTAATGCTACAAAAACAGAGTAGCGTTCATTCCAGAAAAGCAGAAATGTTCCCACTATTAGTTCAATTCCTTCATCCACCACCAGCAAAGGCATTAACCATACGTGGTGGGACTTGTAGTCCAAGGGAACTGGGAGGGGCCAGGTTTGGCAAGAAGGGTGTATATCATGATGAATTCACCACAGAAGAAGCAAGGTCGGAGATTTCGATTCTCCATGAATGGAGAAAATAAAATTAAGAGTGTTTATGTTACCTTGGAGCTGGAAAAAGACAGAAAGAAGATAGAAGAGCATCCTGGGTGATCTGGTCTTGGGCTGAGGGATCTAGCTTAACGTGGCAACTGTGATCTTCTGAGAGACACTCTTCTTGAAGATGTGTGTCTTCTGGAAGCATCTGCAATCCTGGAATTAAAATCCCATCACGGTGTTTCTGCAAAAGAATTGTGGAAAATGGAAGATCTTGTCAATTATGTTTTTTAATCGGGTCACCCATGGTATGCTGCAAATGGTCATAAATGCAGCTGTGTTGCTGAGTGCTCAAAGTGGTGTCACGTGATCACAAGGATCCGATCTGGGTCAAAAGTTTCTTCTTTGGGTCGTTTGTAATTTTGAACTGTGACTAGGAGAACGGTTGTGAGTCAAGGACCACCTGTATATTTATATGTTATTTTAGCCAAGAACTTGAGTAGGTAAGGTTATATTTCACAAACTTCAATTCATGACTTACTTTTTCTGTGGGGGGAAGACCTGGCAAAACCTGGGGGTGGAATGAAAAGGGGAATTAGCCTAGAATCTTTATGTAGCCACAAGCAAATTAGCTCCAACACCCCTTGAGTGCCATTGGCCCTTATCCCAAAGGTGCTTTTTCACAAGGCAACTGGGCTGTTTTTCTCCCTCTCTGAAGACATTTCGCTTCTCATCCAAGAAGCTTCTTCAGTTTTTTCAAAGAAGAAGCTTCTTGGATGAGAAGTGAAACATTTTCGAAGGAAAAACAAGAAAGTCCAGTTGCCTCTTGAAAAAGCGCTTTTGGGACAACCAGGACCTGGAGGATGGAGAATCTCCACAGACATTGGCCCTTATTCAACCAGGTGTCCACCGTTAGTGGAGAAGATTCCTGGGCGTAGGCTTTAGCAATAAATCAGCCTAATTGAACTTTCATGTGTGGACCTGGTTCTTTGCGCTTGACATCTTCTCTTTTTTTCTGGATTAAAATTTGAAGCTCATTTCAAAACAAAATAATACATTCCAGACCACTTCCAAATAAGGCTGCTTAGCTGCTGTTAGCCGCAGCACAGACTAAATTGTAGCCAGCAGCCCAGCCCAGCCCAGTCTAACCCACCAGTGTTCTTCTCTTAATGGCATCGCCATCTAAATGTTGGCCAAAAGGGGTGGCCATCAAGGCTTAGGTCTCTCTGAGAAGCCAGGGACTCAGCACATAAACCTGCATCATAATCCTTGCATCAAAACGAGCTGGAGACCCCTTGTATGTTTTTTTTTAAGGCAAGGAAGCAAACGGTATGTAATCCTCTGTGCCCAGCATCTGATGTGTGGCAAGAGATTAATGCAAACCGCAGCTTTCTTTTCAAGAACTCAAACGCCAAAGGATGATTTCCCCCATTTTGGGGCCTGAGTCAGTCAGGCACAGAATGATGACCACCCTGGTCCAGATGAAGTTGCGTCTGTCGTTTAAGCAGAAACAGGCGAAGGAATCATTTCCAGCCATTGTTATTCATCTTTCTCTCCTTTCCCAGCTAGGCAAGGAAGGGTTTCCAACTAAGCGCAGCAGAACCCTTCGAAAGCCAGCCCAATTTGGAGACAATTAAAATCTGAAATGAACCAGGACAAAGACAGCAGCCAGACAGAAGTCATGGGCAAAGTGGCTTTCATTTGTTTTGGATGAGAGAAAAAAAACAAAAAAACAAAAAAAAGGAATTTTCAGCCCTGAAGTGAGGGGTTTCACTCCATTTCCCCCCCCCCAAATATATCTTGCTGGGACAAATTTGTGCATTCATCCTGATCCACAATTCTGTTTGCTGGGCAGAGAAGCAGGAATAGTCTAGTAGTCAAGAGATAAGGCTAGAAACCAGGAGACTGTGAATTCTAGTCCTGCCTTAGGCATGAAAGATGGCTTGGAAACTTTGGGCCAATCACCAGGAGACTGGGAATTCCGCCTTAAGACATGAAAACCAACTGGGAGATTTTGGACAATCATCCCCGGCGGCTGGGAGTTCTAGTCCCACCTTAGGCATGAAAACCAGCTAGGTGGCCTTAGAACAGTCCCCCTCTCTCAGCCCAAGCCACCTCACAGAGTTGTTGTTTTGGGGGAAATAGAAGGAGGAAGGAGTATTAGGTATGTTCACTGCCTTGAGTTATTTATAAACAGAAGGAAGGAAGGAAGGAAGGAAGGAAGGAAGGAAGGAAGGAAGGAAGGAAGGAAGGAAGGAAGGAAGGAGAGAGGAGAGAGAGAGAGAGGAAAGAAAGAAAGAAAGAAAGAAAGAAAGAAAGAAAGAAAGAAAGAAAGAAAGAAAGAAAGAAAGAAAGAAAGAAAGAAAGAAACTACACTGTCAATGGCCCCACTGCTGGTCAGGACCCTATGTACTTCTCCAACTATGACACCCTGTGAGTCTCTCGCACTATACCCCGCATCAGCCTCCCACTTCTCCAGACCTTGGGACCCACGGGGTCTTTGTCCCTGGAAGAGATCAGTGCAACTATCCTAAGAGGCAACTCCTGTGTTCTTCTGAAAACAGTCCCAGCTTTCTATGGGAAAGAAACCCCAGGAATGTGTGGGAGAAAGAGCAGATAAGCGGTACTTTGCACATCTCAAGGTTTGGATATTTATTTCTGAACAGCAAATTACTAACTGTTTCTCCTTCAGCCGAACTGCATGGTCTGTTTGCCTAAATATAGCTTTTGCACATAAAAGAAAAGAAAAGAGAAGAAAGCCATAGGAAAAGCCAAAGGGGATATTTCTGAATAACTGGAAGCTATTAGAATCAAGACAAAAACAGAATCCAAAGGCAGATTTAAAACAGTTAAGATAAAAGATAAAAACAGTCAGGAATTAATGAGATTTATTGGAAGCAGAATAGGTTTCCCATTTTGACTCTATTTTTCCTGTAGGGATAAAATACCACTAGACCCCTATGAATTCTGCCTTAAACTGCCAGAGGTGTGATATATTATTTATTTATTATTTATTAT